CAGGAAAGTGGCCGGCTAGGGCAGGAGAGCTGCCAGCCTGGCCACCTAGGAGCAGGTGTGCATGAAAATCAAGAGGGTCCACTGAGACCCCCGACCCTGAGCCCTGAGCTTACAATGGCTGTCCTGGGTCAGACCAAAGGTCCATCTAGCCCAGTAACCTGTCTGCCGACAGCGGCCAACCCTAGGGACCCTGGAGGGCATGAACCGAAGACAGTGACCAAGCCATTTATCTCGTGCCATCCCTCTCCAGCCTTCCACAAACCTTGGGCAGGGACACCACTCCTACCCCCTGGCTAAGACTACTCCATGGACCCAACCTCCATGACTTGATCTCACTTCCCTTTAAAGTCTGTTCTAGTTGTAGCCTTCACAGCCTCCTGCAGCAAGGAGTTCCACAGGTTAATTATTTGCTTTGTGAAGAACAACTTTCTCTTACTAGTTTGAAGAGCTTACAGCAGTGGAGAAGAAAAGTGAGACTGTGTAACCCACACACCTAGGCTATGTCTATATTACGATCCTCTTCCACAGGGGTTCCCAAACTTTTTGACATAGGGACCAGTAAATCCATTCATGAACTTTTGGAGGACCAGTAATGTTCATTTGCATATTCATTAATCAAATGATGAATATTCAAATAAGTTGTTTCTGGTCCTCCCAAATCTCCCAGTGTCAGCTTTAGCAAAGCTTTTGACATGGTCACCCACAATATTCTTGCCAGCAAGTTAAGGAATATGGATTGGATACATGGGCTGTAAGACAGACAGAAAGCTGGTTAGACCAGGGTTTCCCAAACTTTTTACTTTAATTGGAACCCCCTTTTTTCAGTTCTGCTTTTTGCAGCCCAAAAATATAAACACATGAAAAACAAACTGAGAAAATACCAGACATATAATATGTCTGGTATTTTCTCAGTAGGTAAGTTGCATTCTAGAAGTATCATTTTGTAGTTTCGAACTGCCTGGCTGGTAAATGTGCTCAGGCTGCATGAGTGTGTCTACCAGCCAGATAGTTCGCAACTACTTGAGGGGTGTGGGGGGGGTCCCACTCCCTGCAGGCTGATTCATTCCTCCCCTCTGCTCCCCTTGTTGTGCCTCTGACCAGCCCCACTTCCCCCAACCCCCTCTTGGGCAGCCAGTTCTCCCCCCCTCCTCCTCCCAATCTGCTCCCCTTCTTCTCCCTTGGCCAGTCCCGCTGCCTGCATCCAGCCCTCCTTCCAGCAGTCGCTTCTCCCACCCCACCCACATCTTCCCCAGCCAGCTCCCTGCTGCCAATCTCACACCCCCCGGCAGCCCTGCTTCCACCAGCCCCCCAATCTCCCCAGCCTGCCCTGATTCCCCCATCCAGTTCTGCTTCCGGTGGCCAGCTCTCCCCTCCTCCTCACCCCAGAATCCCCTGGCACCTGCACCTTCCCTTAGCCCTGCACCCTTCTGGTGCCTCCTTTTCCCCTCTTTTTCCCTAATACCTACCCCCTCAACAGTCTCTGCCCCATTCCCCTCCTGCCCCTCTGTGCCCTCACACACGATTTGCTCCATCCTGACCTTCCTCATGCCCCCCTTCTTTCAAGCCTTCTCCCAGCACCTCTTCCTCCAGCCCCCAGCGCCCTTCCCCTCTCCCAGCATCACCCTGTCCCCCCTCCCACTGACACCGCCCCTCCTGCCCCTTCCCTCATGGTCTGCACTTGGCCCCCTGGCATTTGTCTTTCTCTCCTGCACCCTGTCCCTTGGTGCCTCCCCCGCCCCCGCCCCCTCTCCTCTCCTCGCCGCCGCCGCCGCACGAGCCGGTTCCCACCTTCTCCTTCCCTGTTGCGGGCCCCGGAGTCCGAGCCCGGAGCCAGCCAGGCCCCGCCACGTGCCTCCCGCGGGTTTCAAAACCCCGAGCCGTGACGTCACGGGCCCCAGCTCTTAACTCGCCGGCACTTCCGGGTGCAGTGGCGTGAGGCCCGATTCGACCGAATGGGTCAAATCGGCCTAAGGGCCAGCAGCCACCAGGCACGCTGAGCCCCGGCATTTCGGGCCGTGGACCATAGTTTGGGAAGCGCTGCTCTTCCACAATAGGAAATGCAAATGGAGTGCTCATTTGCATATGTTGCACTCATTTGCATTTCTGCCTCTGATCCCTTTTGCGCAAGAGCTTTTTGCACAAAAAAGCACTGTGTAGACGGCTCCTTTTCGTGAAAAAAACCCCTTTTGCACAAGAGCCGTTCTTCCTCCTTTTTTGAGGAACAATGGCTCTTGTGTAAAAGGGGGGTTTTGCTCAAAAAGGAGCCATTTACACTGCACAAAAACCTCTTGCTCAAAAGGGATCCAAGGAGGAAATGCAAATGAGAGCACAACACATGCAAATAAGCGCTCTATTTGCATTTCCTCTTGCAGAAGAGGATCGTAGTATAGATGTAGCCCTAGAGTGGTTCGCTGTCCCATGTCATGGCA